CTCATCACCGAGTTCCGTCCCCAGTACAAGAGTTTTGCGGCCGAGTGGTACGACCCCGCCGCCTTGGACGACATCCACCAGCTCCTGGACGAAGGCCATGGGCATGTCTCTCGAGGATTGGAAGAGGGAGGAGGAGAATCACGAGTGCGTCACCAAGGTCGAGCTCGGTCCGTGATCGCATCCCTGTACAGGCGAAGCATTCGAAGCACCTCGCTCCGTCCCCAAGTGATGCCATCCTGTGTTCTCTCATTACCGAAGCAGCCTGCCCGTGTGACGACAGAAACAGACGATCACCGCTCGATCCGCTCGTTCCTCGCTTGCCCAGCCTGGTGTAGGAACCGTGCATTGCTGCCAGGCACTTGCGCTTTACATGGAGGCTTGCGAGAGGGGAGCTCGAAGCCGAGCCTGGCAGCTCGCGCCATGTGCCGGGCTGTCACATGCAAGCCTAGGCCGCATGCCACCTCCATGAGACCGAGGCAATTTGTACTTAACGCCACGCCAGGCAGTGCAGGGCTCACAAATTGCAGGTTGGAGTCATCGACCTGCACGGACTTGCCGTGGAACAGGCGAAGCTGGCTGTCAGCGGCTGAGTGATCCTATAAGCCAAGCCAAGCAGTCTGAGGTATCTGCATACCGAGCTGACCAGGTGGAGACCACGCTCCTAGAGATGCTCACATATGCTTGCCTTGAAAAAGAACGCTTGCGGGATATCGTCATCGCCCAGGGCTAAAGATACCAACGTTTCGCAAGCAAATTCTTGACGTTTGCTTACTGAAGCTCAACTTCGCTTTGAAGATCTTTGTGTTCGGAGCACAGATGAGGTAGTTGGTCTTGGGCTACACAGCGCAGGTGGCCAGCCGGTCGCCGAGCGCTAAGTTTCCCCCGAAGGTGGTGCTTTGCCAGAGAAGAGCAAGACTCAAGACTGATACTTAGATACTCCAAATGGAACTCCAGCTTTGCTAAGGTCGGACCTGCCGTTCAAGAGCTACTGAGCGCTGTGCTCAGTGTCGGCAGTTGAGGGGTCTTCTCTTGTCTTTAGCAGTGAGTCCCGGCAAGCTACCCTGCCAAGGCGAAGAGCTTGGCATACCTGTGGTGTGACTTCCCCAGCCTTGATCTGTCCTTCCATCCTTCAGTACTTCTTTGGTCCGGCTGTGTTGCTCTGCCATGGCAAGTCTCCAAGTCTCGTTGGTTGGCACGTTTCATGCTGACCGGCATGGTGCTGTTGGTTCTCAGCACCTAGTGCCTGGCAGCATGCATACCATTGATGGTTGTCTTGAGCACGTGCTAGCACGGTTTCTGATGGCCTTCTGAGCCTCGCAAATCCAAACTTCAACCGCAATAGTTGCAGCAGCAGGGTGTACAAGCACATGCACAGTGTGGGATGGGGTGGCTGTGCGGATGCAGGCGTGGTGTTTGGCACTTTGCTTTGTCCAGAAGCTTGCAACGCATGCAGGAGAAGCAGTCGATTTGCAGCCGCAACAGCGGAGCGGGCCCAAGACGCAGGTTACGTCGTTTACGTTCCGGAATTCTTGCCTGCTCATTGCGACGTGAGACCAGCCGGCATGAGCTCACGCTTTGAAAGCAGCCGCCGGTTCAAAGGGCTTGAGATACCCAGGTGCTGTAGCCATGGGTTGCGCTGGCTCTGTGAATGTCGACCATCCAGCCTCGGCAGCGCACATCGAGAAGACGCGGGGCAATGATCTGGGCAAGGCTTTCCTCATCCTGGGAGTCAAGGATCAGAACATGACAGGAAAAGTCTACCTCAGCGGTGCCTCAACTGGTGACCCAAAGCTGCTTGCATCAGTTGATGCAGTTCTCAAGAAGACGAACGATGGCGTAGTTCGAGGTTCAGATGAGCATGACAAGCTCTGGGATATCGCATGGCACAACACCAAGATGACCAGTGGCTACCAGATGCTTTCTCTAAAGCAGCCGTTCTTTCCCATCGGCCGTCACGCTTCGGGCCTGCATTAATCCAAAACCTGCCGTACATGAGATTGTCGCACTAATGCTGCCGGATGAAAGGCGCATCGTGCTTGTGTTGAAGTCATCACCATCCTAGGTTGTGGGGCTACTGGATGCTTTGGGAGAACATGGGTGGATTCCGTCAGCAGCACCCAGCTATGGTGGCCCGATCAACGACAAAGCTTCTGTGGAGTGGCCAATGATCATTTGCCAGAAGGCCCCTTGTTTCAAGAGCAACCGGTGTCAGCAAAGTATGCAGACCTGCCATATACCGCGGCAAAACGCATGCTGAAATTACACATATCTACAGTCTTCACCATATACAAAAGCGCACATGCCCAGGATGTTGACCAGATCTATGCAAAAGAAACGCTCTTCCTTGCCGTCAAGGATCAGAACATTCCTGGAAAACTGTGCATCTGCGGGCCTCCCGATGCAATCGTTGCTGAGCTGTGCGTTAAGCAACAATTTGCAATCTTTATTCCAAGACCAAGAGTCGTCATGAAGAGTCATGGTGCAAACCACTAGAATTTGTAGAGAGAGCCACAAGGAGAATCTGAAGAAGGGCAATTTCGCGAGCAAGCTGAAACAAGTGAGCCCCGAAGCCAACGAGAACTTTGACGATTACGACACATCGAAAGAGTGGGACCTGGTCTACCGCAACACGTCGATCACTTCTGGTATGCAGGCGTTTAGCTTCGCAAAACCCTATTTCCCCAAAGGCAACGTCCTCTATCCGTTGCTGGATGAAGTGTACAAGCTGGGCTGGCGCCTGGTCTCAGCACCCAGCTTTGGGGGAAACACCGTGGACTGGCCGTGCTTTATCTTCAAACGATTACTGAACCCGCCTTCAGAGTCACCTGCCTTGATCTTCGCGTCCGTGAAAGATCAGAACATTCCCGGCAAGCTTTGCATGTCTGGATCACCAGCTCACGTAGGCGAGCTCGTCAAGATGCTTCAGAGCGCTTTCAAGAATGTGAAGGGCAATGAGTCTGTGGCTTTGTCCAAGGATGAATATGATGGTGACTGGGAGCACGTTCTGCGAAACACTTCCCTCACCACCGGACACCAAGCCTTCAGCTTCAAAGTCGCCTACTTTCCTCGTAACGACAGCATCATGACTCTGACGCGAACCATGGGCAAGCAGGGCTGGAAACTAGCAGCTTGCCCGAGCTTCGGGGGCATGGGCGCCTCGTGGCCAACTTTCGTTTGGGAGCATGTAGGCACTCCAATGGAGACCGCTTTGATATCCATCAAGGACCAGAACTGGCCTGGCAAGGTTTGCTTAGGCGGAGTGGAGAAGGAAGTGAGCGAGGGCATCCTGAATGGTCTTAAAGTCATGAGTGGTGCCGATGCCCAATGTGCCAAAGACGAATATGACCAAGACTACGACATAGCTTTTAGGAACACCAAGATGACCACAGGCCAGGCTTGCTGTTCTTTTCAAAATGTCTGGTGGCCTTACGCGTATCCTATGGAGCTCATCCTTGGAGAGCTTCACAAGCACAGGTGGCTTCCGGCAGGAGGGCCGAACTTTGGCAGTATGATGCTCACTTGGCCAGCTGTCATCCTTCAAAGGAAAGTAGATGGCAACGATCCGCAAGTCTGATCAGGAGCCTGTCACTGCATGGCGTAGAAACATGTAGAAGCTGGGGTTGCGAAATCTGTGCCCCAAAACTGTGCCTCTAAACTATGAGGCTGCTTCTCAACCAAAAAGGCAGATGCAAGTCCCATCGAGTCCCAACATCGAATGAACTTATCGGCAGTCTCATCAGCTGCATCAGAAAGCTTCTTTGATTCCGAAAGTGATCTAAGGAGCTTGCGGCCGGGGGTGCTGGCCTCAAGAAACTGAAATCAAAGCTCCTGCCAACAGAGTACTCTTCATCAACCTGAGCTGTTTTGTGGCAGAGTTGTTTGCAGCAAGAGAGAGGTCAAAGGCTGCATCGGTCATTGTCGTTCTCTTCAAGGCAAGTCGTTCAGGACCCTGCGGGCGATTTACTCCAGTCAATAGGCTGCAAGACCATGTCCGAGCTGCAGATGTCGAGTAGCAGGGCCATCCAATGCAGGCTGTTCAGAGGCAGCCGTCTCTGATCTCAAAAGGTCTCATGAATACATCCAGACAACGTCGGGGTAATGTTTCAAGATCTTTCTTGCGGGCAACTGCAGGACCTTGGCTTCTCTGAGGCCTGGGTTCATTTGGGTTCCTCATTTCTGCAGCCCCAATGAATGCGTGGGCTGCGCTTTGCAGTGCGTCGCAGGCTGACGAAGAGCTAAGCCACGAAATGCTGAAGGCGGGCATCTTGCCCATAAGTCAAGGAGGTATAGCGCAACGCAGGATGGCCACATGGCCACCTTGCCTCCGTGGCACTCTGTCAATGCGTTAGATGCCGGAGCCCTGAGCATCTTCAGGAAGTGAAAGCAGCATTTGATCTCTGTGATTCTGATGGATCTGGTGAGATCAACGCAAAGGACCTGAGCACAGTCCCAGCGCAAACTCCGCATCGCATTCCTCGTTCATTGCTTGACCAGGAACTCCACCTCGTGATGAGAGAGCTGGGCTTCAAGGACTCCAAGGAAGAAGTTGGCAAGATGATTGCTCAGGTGAGACTTTTTGAAAAGCCTTTTTGTGCAACTTCGGCCCTGATGCCAACACTGATGCCAACACCAACGCCAGCAAACGCCAGCATGCAGGTGGATGAGACCGGGAGTGGCCCCTTGAACTTCGACAAGTTCCGCTGCGTGGCTACAAATGCTACAGCTGCATCTCATTCAAAAGTGATTCAGCATTTGGGACAAGTCCCTTCCCAAGGGCAGCAGAGTCACCTGCTAGGTTGCATGGTCATCAGGTTTGGAGCTCAGGCTCACATCATGCTTATTTATGCGCTGCAGCGAGCTAGCCAAATCCATCAAACGTGAGCATAAGGAAAATGATGGAGCGCAGGCCAAGGGTAGAAAAAGCATTCCAGCAGTGGCTCAGCTCGCTTGGGCTTGTCTAAAGAAGAGTACGGAAACGCATGTGCAGATGTGGTCTCTTTGGCTTCCTGCAGCCGAGGTTTGATCCTGAAGGCTTGGGAAGCAGAGCTGCATGTGGAGCTAGCCAGTACTTGACCTGGTCTGTTCAACGCGCCGGCCGACTCCAGCTCAGGATACATCACCCTGCAGAAGCTCAAGCGGGTCTCCAGGCCATGTTCCGCACATTATAGCCATCTCGGCATGAGGTGGCCTACGTCTGCCGCACTGAAACCATCCGATTCTAGCCAGGGCGCTGGGCGAAGATTTGAGTGACCGGGAGCTACAGGAGCCTTGGGCCCCCACGTGCACTGTATAACTTGGACACCCGCAATCATCGTTTGAGAGGACATGCTGAACCTTGCAGACCGTGACGCTTGGCTGAAGTCGACAGGTTACTTGAGACCTGTGGTCTCTGATGTTCCATCCTCTCATCACCTGTGCGCAAGTTAAGTCAGAGTTTTTGCCTGTTGTATCTATTGGAATCGAAGGACAAGGATGGCTTGGTCAGCCAAGCAGAATTCATGGCCTTCATGAAGGAGTAATGGAGAGAAGAGACGGTATGTCCAGAAGGTTGTGCTTTGGATGTGGCCAGTCAGGAGCGGGGAATGTGGTAACATCTTCTGCTTTCGGGATAAGCTCTGGAGGCGTGACGCTTTTTTGCCCGCCTCTTCTTGCTTGCCACGATCTCACACCCGCATGAGGACTCTGGAGTGCAGTGAAGCTTCCTCTCCAACAAGAAGTGATGCATGGCTAGGTGTTGTTGCAGGGTGCCGTCAGATGACTTTTTGCACTCCAAGATGAGTCCATGACCCCCTGCAGGTTCTTCGCTTGTGCACATGCTACGTGGATTGCAGGCAACATCGGTAGCCACACAAGCGAAGAGACGCAGGAGCATGGTGGACTCAGACTGTCCGCTGGTTGCGGACAGGGGAAAGTAGTCTGGTCTCACACATGGCATGGTCATCCGATGAAAGAGCGAGCGAGTGGCACTTGCTTCAGAGACATATGGGTGTTTGAGCAAGATGCGGAACCTGCATTGACTGACAACGCCTCCAAGGGAACGTTCTGTGAATGAGGCCTTCGCCAACGTCGCCAGGCCGACTTGTGGCAGGGCTCTTGTAATCGCCCACGATGAGCGGTACAGTACAGGGTTTGGGCCAGCAAGGTGCAGGCAGCTGCGCTGGAGCATTGGCTGCACGAGAGCCCAACATTGCTCAGGGCTGGCTCCGGAATTAACAGAGTGCCAAGGTCGACCGTGATAGAGCAGCAACCAGAGTCTTGATCGAGTTGACAGAGGCTAAGACCCAACTGTTTCGGCATCATGCTCGAGCTTTGCACAGCATCAAGCACCAGTCATGCAGACAAGACAAGGTACAAAAAGCGGGCGGGAACGAATGCCTCTTACTCTATAACACCAAAATTAGCTGGGACAAAAACTCTGGTCTGTACGGTTATATAGAACTGAGTGCAGATCATGGGAAACGACAAGAGTAAATAACACGACAACATCAGGTAACTTATGATGTTAGATGGGAACACGACCGAGAGCTCTGCCATCCCACGCAAAGAACGGGGATGTTGCCTCCATGCCCAAAGCGGCACGCATTCCTCAAGGCCACTCTCTGAATGTCATTTGTCTCGTTATGCGACTCATGCATGTTTGCATCTGTCTGTACGAGGTGCATCACTTTGCCATCGTCAGTCTCCTCGGAGGAGCACCACCATACTTTGCGACTTCTGTGCAGGGCGCTGCGGAAGCAAAAGCATTGGAGTTTGCATGCCAGGACTGGCTTCAACTGCCCAGGCATTGAAGCCAAGAAGCCTGGGCACTGCCTCGGCATTTCCAGCCTCCGCTGCTTGAGCGCCTGTCCTGCAAGGCCGAGGAGCTGCCACGGCTCGGGGCTCAGAGAGCGGAAAACTTGCAGCCTTCTCGCTGAGCTTGCATAGCTTGCTGAGCGCAGGTCAACCGTTACCACAGAGGCTGTGAAGCGCTTCCAGGCCTCGATACATGCTCGAATGTCAGGCGCGAAGCTAGAGAGACCAGCATCGAGAGGAAATGCAACTTTGAATGGGAGGATCCGATGCCTTGCCTGACAAAGCAGAGGAGGGAGTGGAGGGCTTCCACCGGATTCCAAGCACTGCGAAAAGTCCTGTAGGACGAGTGGACGAGCTCCGATGCCTTGCGTAAGGACTTGCATGAGTGTACTGAAATTTTGCTTCCCATATCTCAAGTTCATTGCCTGGATGTGTTGTCTTGGCGCGTGCCCCAGCACGGTTTCCCTGCAGTCAAATCTTGCCAGCACGTAGCCTCTCTGGCTCTTGGAGAAGACGCTGTAGCCCATGTCGCATTTGAAAACAAGCCTAACGTCTTTTGCCACAGCCAGCTTCCTTTGGCCTGCAGCGCCAGCCCTTGTTTTACCTTTGCTCGCAAGGGCCATGGGCGAGGCACCTGGGCAGTCCTGAGCAAGTTAGCACTGCTCTGCGCATGTCTGCGCATGTTCTGGCCCTTGTCCCTGGCGCGGGCCCTTCGGCCACGTTGCTCAAATCAGAGATTGTAAGTTGCCAGAAAACAGCAGTCTCAGCAACTGGTCTGCCTGAACCGCATCAGCATCTCAAGTCTGAAGATAGCGCTGCTTCAGTATTTGTAATACTGGCCTGGGGCGATGCCGAAGCCACCCGGACCGGCGCGCCGCGGGCTGCTGACATTCGTGGTAGGCCGGATCGCAGAGCCGGGGATCGTGATGGGAGGAGATGGGAGCGTCTCTCGACATGTTGCGACCGGCAGGTGGTGAGCCGTTTGAGGTGCCATGGCCTTACCTTGCCTTGCACTCTCCAGTGTGGGCCGAGAAACTGGCAGAGGCGCGAGGGCAGGCGTTTCCCCGTGAGCATTGAAATGTGTGAAGTCTGCACAGGATCCAGATCTAAGTGTAATAGAGCTGAAGGGAGAGGCAGGCGTTGCTTGCCAACGTGGGCAAAGGCTACTTGACATGTGTTTGACATGATGTTGCACCTTGACGCTTCCTCTGCAGCCGCTGATCTCACTGAATGAGCGCTCCATATCTTGTCACAACCCACCGGGAGCATTGTGCCTCCTGCCGAAGGGAGGTCGAGGATGAGGAGGTAGCGGTACCTTGACATCATTAAACCCTGGCAAGCCTTAAGTCTGTTCCTCTGCTTGTGAATTTCCGCCACCACAAAACCAGGTAAATGCCGAGGGCTTCCGAGTCCACTTGGGCTGTGGCACCGTGCTGGAGTTCGAGGGCCTCCAGCTTACTGGGCCCCAACTTGCGGGACCCTGCCGTGTTGCCCCTTGCTGCACGGGTGGAGGATGTAGATTTCGAATGATTTGGGGGTGGGAAGCGCAGGACAAGATTTGGCGTCGCTCGAGTCAGATGCAGCCTGGCTGTTGGAGCAGAGGCGAATCCTCGAGCAGCTTCCAGGCATCGAAAGTGTTTTCCCGAAGCCCAGGGCCTTGGCATGGGACTGCCCTTGGCTAGATTCAGTTGTGTGCAGGTGGGTCTGGAGGCCAACGAGGTCAAGGCAGTAAGAAGATGCAGCTTGCATAAATTGCAGTCAAAACCTAGCCCAGTCAAACCTTCCATGCCTGTCATCAAGGCGTGGGGTCGATGCTCAGTCGATCCTCCGCGATGCTACCATTGGGGCGAGCGCTGGACAAGGAGCCGCAAGAAACGGGAGAACCCCATGGCAGGTGGCCGGAGAGGCCAAGCGCCTTCGAGCGCCAGAGGACATGTCGGGCACCCATTCGGGCATTTCAGCATCATAATGCTATCATTGCTCATCTTCAAGTCTCCAAAATCTCTGAGGCCAGAGATCGAGGTCATCGAGGTCGGCGGCTTCAGCGACTGGAGCGATGCTGACAATTCTGACCACTGACGCAGTCCACGTCACCCCAGACAGATGCCCACGTGAAAGTCTGCGAAAATGGCCTCAGCAGACCTTGAAGATTCAGATTCGCTTGTGCAAAGCTGGGAAAGCAGATTCAATCAATGGCTGATTTTGGAAGGCCGACTCTTTCCGTGCCTTCTTGAACTTCCTGCAAGGTGCAGATGGTCAGAAGCCTGGAAAAAGCGGGCATAAGTCGTTGAGAATGATTGCCTTCAGCTTGAGGTCCGACAGGAGACCTCAGCCCAGCAAACTTCCTGGACATTCTCCATTGGAACGAGGTGACGGCATTCTTTGACTGCCAATTGTCTTGATGTGTCTCCTGTCTTGCCAGAGGAATTCGATGTTGAGCACATTCGAGGACAGCCCCGGCCTTACAGTAGTATCTTGAGTGGATACATGACCCGGATCATGAAAAGTATGGCGGCGTTGCCTGGCATCGTGGAAAAGTGCAGGAAGACACGACACGTGCAAACGACGTAGTCGTGCGTCCGCATTGAAGGCATGCAGAGACAGCAGCAAGGGTGGTAAATCAGAGAGCACCCTCAGGGATATGTAGTGCACATATCTGGAATTGAATAGAAGATACGGGATGCTCCAAATTTGTGGGAAAGCAGGCTTTGACACAGGAAGCTTTGTGCGCTTTTGTGGGATCTTCATACAGCAAAGCAGCAGTACCGCCAGCATTCGAAGGAGTTTGGGCCTAGGTGTGAGGCCTTCCTGCTGGACCCGCGATGCCGCGAGGCCATCGAGCTCTCACCGGACGAAGTCCTCGAGGCTTGGCGCCACTATCAGCTGTGCACCCTTCCTTGAGCTGCGCGGCAGATCGCTGCACGGTACAACATGCCAAAGCTGTATGAGAAAGCCATCGAAGTCACCGGGCAAGGGATGCAGTACATCCAGGCCCGCGTTGCAACCATCAGTCATTCATCTCAATGGCAGCCATTTGCAGCTTCAGTGGTATGAGAACCGGAAGGTTCCGAAGGAGGGCTCCAACCGGTTCGAGTCCGAGGACCTCTCGCATACCGCCGTTTACTGCTGTTTGCAGTGTTCAGTTGAAGGGATTCACTTTTTTGTGATTCCAACTTGTAGGACTCATGACTGCTTCTGTGCAACAAATCCGCTTGTGGATGCGAGGACTTGAGGACCGATGTGGTGAAAGCGCACCTTTCGATGGGCGTGATGTGTGCCGACGGGGAGCGGCTCTGCTGTCGAGTGGAAGCCTGCAAAGGCAACAAAAGTGCAACAAGCAACCCCAAATCACACTGGTGATGGAGGAGATGCGATGTCGGCACCGCTATGCGGATCAAGCTCTGTGACTTGACAAGTAATCTAACCTTATCTAATCTTGCGTGTGCTCACCACAAGCATGGCTGCATGTCACCGCTCTATGCAGACAGCTTGAGGAAAGAATTTTCGCTCTCAGGCTTCCTGATGCTCACGAGCGGGCGCGACTTCTATGGAAGCCTGGGCACATCAGGAAGGAAAGCAAGCGCGACTCAGAAGCATGACTTCCCAAACGAAGGTCGCGAGGTCGTTTGCGCAAACCGCGTGTAGAAGAGTCCACGCCCTAGCGCCTCACCTCATAGTCCCAAGAAGAGATTTGCGCGTCGTGCTTTGGAGGCCTGACCATGACTGGCGATGCCCAGAGATGGCCAGTGGCTCTGAGAGAGCGCAGCCTGCCTCAGCGAGCTGCTGGAGCAAGACGGCAAAGGCCAGCACTTGACGAGGTGTGGCCCCATCATTCGCTCCGCGGCGAGGCAAGAATGGTTTTCAGATGAGCTTGAGGCGCTGGATACCTGACTAAGTGCACGGAGCAACCAGGACTGGACGGCAGTCGCTGCTGAGTCCCTGCCCTAGAACAGTGGAGACGACAGCAGCAAGTGCAATCAAATGTTTGGTTGAGGACGCAGCCCACATTACCTCGTCGCTCAGCCCTGAAGCTTGGTCGCAGTAAGACTTCAATGAAAGTACTACGGTGCTTCGTAGAAAGAACACTCTTTTTTTGCAGTTCTGCAGGCGAGGGCCTCGAGCCAGAAAATGAAGAGGTCAGGGCTCGCACATGTCTCCAGCCCAATACGGGTTGTGGTTTTGTCTGCTCATCCAGCGTGGTACTTAGAGTCAAGGCTGCTTGAGCGCCGAAGGTGCACCAGCAAGCCTTGGAGTTGCGACATGGATCCATGGCGAACAAAATCAATTAGTGCTTGGCGCGCGTTCGCTGCTTGCATTTTTTCTGACGTCGGTCAATGTGCACAGGCAGCCAGAGTAGCTGATGCCGCGGCTGCGGCATGGCGCGCTGCTTTTGGATCCTCCTTGCTGTGGCGGCGGCCAAGCCCGCCACGCGGTATGCCTGGGGGCTCAGCTATCTTCCGTCTGCTTCACGGCCTGCCTGCTTTCTACTTGCCTGCTACCAGGCTCGCAGCATGGTGGCAAATGCAGACGATTTTCTTCGCTGGTCCCAAACCCGTGAGCAGTTGACTGATAGCTGCATCCCCACGTACGCACTGTTGAAGTCAAAGGTTCCCGAATGCCAGTTTGGTGGTCCTGCAGGGAACAGTGCATCAGCAGCGCACTCGGATTGAGAACAGCATGTAGTTCAAGATAGCGCTGTGCATTCCAGAATGGGAGTGTCAGCAGATTCAGCAGATGCAAAGTGTCCCAGGATTGGAATTGAAGAGTTAGCTGCGTCGGTGGCCCCTCTTTCTTGCCGTGGATAGCTTGGCAGAAAAAGAAAGCTTCGGCGATACGTGTGGGCCAGGCACCGCAGGAAAGGTGGTCAGCTCGCAACGGCAGTGGCCTCTTTCGGAAGGAGTTCTCACGAGAGCTTGGCATGTGTTTGATTCGATGCAGCAGCAGCTCTCGCTGATGTCAGGAAGCGGTGCGTTTCGGCTTTGGTATCTACAACCCTTCCATAGCACCAGCGCAGCCTGCCACCAAGGAGATTGTGGTTGGAACCAGATGGCACTAGACGTACGCACGCTGCTTTCCAGCACCAGCGCAGGTCAGGCCATCTTTTGGCAATCTTCCGAGCTTCGAATTGGCTGGACTCCTGGCCATTGCAGCGTACTGCAGAGTTGCACTTGTGCACCGGGCTTCTACCAGTTCTGCATAAGGCACTATTGTCCAGAGTCTGGGTGGGATGGAAACTGGACTAGTGCTCGCACCTCATTGTCGAAGAGTCAAACGCGCAGGTTGTCCGGCCATCGCATCAGCACATGTGAGTCATGGGAGTGGTGATGCGGCAACAAAGGTCCCACACCACAAAGCACAGGATCGGCGGCTTTGACTTTCTTTGAGAATGCCTCACAGAATTTGTGGATCTCCCTTTACGTAGGCCAGCCAATACAACCAACCAATCCTTGCTGTGCTGAAGCTACCAGATCTCAAGGTGGTGGAGGTTGGACCTTATTGTCAAAGGGCACCTCAGCTTCAGCCAAGCTGCGAGGCAGTTCCCATAACGTTCCCTCGGGATCGCTTCAAAGCTCGCTTCCAGGAGGCCCGAAGCGGCTTCTTACTCCGAAGATCTAAGCTGTGTAGGGGCAGGCCACAGCTACGCCCACATTTGTCCCATATCCAGGTGCAGCATGGCAAAGTTCTTGCAGAGAGATCGATCCAAGGTCCCGAGGCGCTGTTCCAGCGTCGAAAGTGTGTGCCTGCAGAAAGTGTTGTTGAGGATTTGCGGCTCTACAAGTTCCAAGAAGAGTACTGGCTTTCGTCACTCTGCCTGCTACCAGATGAGCACAAATTGCAGAACTTGGGCATGCCTCGTAAGGTTCAGCTTCCGATCAGCTTACCTGGCCAAGCTGCAGACAAGAAGCACGCTTAGATTGGGCACAGATTTCTTTTTAGTTCAAACAGCTTACACGCCATGGAGGGGCGCGGAGTCTTATGTAAGGACTTTGCTTTGGAGAGCGTGGCTGCACTCCAGCCAGCAGCTTGAATCTGCTCATACGTCTCCACAAGACTTAGATGCTTTGGGCCCTTGGCTGATGCAAGGCAGCCTGGATGGAGACCAAAACTCTGATGGAAATCACTCCGGAGGCTGGAGACTTGTGCTATGAGACGTGGCTGTGCTTCTTTCTCTTCCTTCTGTGGATAGGCTCTCCAGAAGAAAGAGCACCGGGAACAACAGGCTTTCAAGAACTTGAACCTAGCTTGGATCAGCAAGGCCGGTGGCAAATTCAGTCTAGCATCACTCCCTGAAAGCATCCAGACATTTGAGGAGACCATGCTAGTGGAGTTCTCCCTAAATCCGCACATCGTGCTCGAGGCAGTTCTTTTCAAAGAGCTCTGGCATTATCGGGTCCCCTTGAACGGACTGGAGGTGGATGTGGCATCCGGGCTCTGGCGGGAGGTGGCGGACAGAAATAGAAGTGAAAGTAAACGGAGAGAGCTCTAGATTTTCTTGCACCGCAGGTGGCATCTACTCAAACCGCCAGTTTACCCCTACTTCCCGGCTCAGATTTCTTCTACCGGGGAGGCAGCATGCTGCTGAAAGCGGACTGCACGCTGAGTGTTGGTCCTGGATTTGCAGGCTTTTGCTGTGCGGGTCCCATTGAATGGGGTGGCCAAGAGGTGGGGGATGGAGATACTTGTAGCTTCAGATAGCACCCGCTTCCATCACATATCACACTCCATCAATGCAGGTGAGCCTTGGCGTTGCACACATTAAGCCGGGAGCCCAGACGGGTGCCTACGACTTGTTCCGCGAGCTTTCAAGAGGGCATTTGTGGGACAGGGGCTTGCACAACTGCGAGTGGACTGTTCTTTGATGATCTGCACTTCGCCTTCGCTTCTTTCAAATTTTCTACTGCGTGCGCAAGAACGTGCTGTACAGTAATATGAAATTAGTCTGCCTCTTCACAGCTTCACAGCTGCGTTTGGTTCATGACGCGAGGAGACAGCAAGGAACAAGGCGAAGAAAGGCTTCGCAGTCATCAACTTGAGATAACAGGTCTCTTGTTAGCCAGAGGCACTGATTCGGCACGCAGAAGGCACGCGCATAGATTTTCAATGCCTGTTGGACCACTCCGGGGTTTCCTTAGCCAAATTTCGCCTCCAGCCATGGTGCACATTCCAATCGGGACGCGGATGGGAGATCTTGAGTTTTTCCGCGCAGGCCCGGTTGAGAAGAAGATAACAAGAATTCTGCCTTGCAATCGTTGCCCTTTCACCCTTCGGGTGTCCAGGCTTCGGGGTGCAAGAGCTTAAGGATGCAGCTGTGGCAGCTGTGGAGCCGGGCTTCATCACCTTCAAGATGAAGGCCTGAAAAGCTGCCGGGACTGCGACAGCAAGCAATTGACCTAGTTGCAGGTGGGCCCGCAGCACGTCAACGCATTGCAAACCATGCATGGTGCCTTCTCCATGCTGCTGTTGGACTGTTTGAAGCTTGCTACCGAGCTCATCTTAGGAGTTTCAGGGGACATGCAGTGTTGTAGGACTGTCTCACGACGGTCGTCATCACCCAGGCACCGCCATGTACTGCCATGCACGTGATGTTAACAGCAATCTTCCTGTATCTCATGGGTTGCTTTGAAGACCTTCGAAGCCTGGAAGTTGGCCTTTGCCCGCTTTGCTTTGTCAAGGTAGACCAGCGGCCCACTGTCAGCGTCAACATGGCAGGAAGCGTTCTGCCCAGGGCAGAAGTAAACTACGTAAACTAGGGGTTCTAAAGCGTAGATGGCGTAGGCGCTTCAGCTGTGATGAGCTGTGAAGCTGGTCCTGGACTCCAGGACAGTACCAGGGAGCAGCCAAGCTCGGTGAGGAGCTGACCATCGACTGCAAGCTTGAAAAGGCGACCATCGTTTGCTCCGTCTGCTCCTGCTTTCAGATGAACTGCGCAAAGAGCTGTAAGTCAGTGCAAGCAGGCCGGGAAGAGCTTGGCCTATGCTTCAATGTGGCAAAGCCGCAAGATTCTGCGAAACAGCTACGATTACCTTCAATGTCATCTGAGGATCATCAAATCTGCAGATAAAGTCGTGTGCCTTGCCTTAAGGATGAGGTCATCGTAGCCACATGCTTCATTCAGTGGAGGCAAGCGACTGCAACAAGCTGAGGTTCACGGGTCAACACACCAAGATGCTCTTGCAAGCCAAGCTTTGACTCAGTTTTGGCAGCCTGCAAAGGGGAGAAAAAATCTTTCTTCTTGACAGGAGCTTATGCGCATGTCGAGCGCAACATGATGCCTTCCTTGCCTTGCTTCGCATGTCAGCTCAATCGAACAATCGCTGTTGCAGTCTTCCTACTACTAAGGTTCAATCGTTACGTCTTCCTGCACCGTTTCTACGTTGTGAACCCGATTTCTCCGTATGAAGTGCCTTTGCAATGCAAGACATAGCATTCAATCGCGTTGTTTGCGTTCCAGTAGCAGCATAATTTCAGTGCCAAGTGCAGGTACTGGCCACCTCGCCAGAGCTCTGTTTCCATTATCTTGGCCAGCCAGGCAAGTTCCGGTCGAGTGGCTGTGTCAAGGAAGTCGGTGGTCGGTGGCTTGCGTGGCTGGCAGGCCTTGTTTGGGAGGAGCTGGGGGCCGGCTGCGAGACGCTGCAGTTTGCCTCAGGCCTTCATAAACCTCTATTTTCGCACTGGCGATGCACTGGCATGCACTTGCATTCAATCGCATGCAGTTGCATGCAAGTGCAGCATCTGGGCTGTTTGATGTATTTCTGCTCCGATGTTGAAGGCATGATGGTCCAGAACCACTCCAAGGACTCCTGGGCCGAGCCTCTTTTGAGCATATGGGAGCTTCGCAGAAGTCGGTAAAATTTGGCGTGATGCCGGCCCCTTTTTTGTTTCCGGCCTTTGCAGAAGACAAGAGGTGGATAGTGGTGGCCAGTATCATGTGCTGTCGGGTCCCTGCTTCCCCTCTCGGGAGGCCTGTTAGGCCCCAAGAATTTAGCTGAGTCAGTGTTCGGGAGATCATCAGTACTAAAGTCTGCTCGTTAGCGCTCCGATATTCAGAACTAACATGCGCATGTGCCTGAATTTCAATAACTGCGAGATGATGGCTTAAAAAAGTGACCAGGATGCTGGCCGAGTCAGCTG